GGGACTGTTGAATGTAAGAATCTTTTGTCTTTAGGTCTGTGTGAAGCTGAGAGAAAATGCATGTTTTGTTGGCCTTCACTCAGAGCTGCCTGTCCTCCTGAGCACAAGGGAAAGGGTGCCTCTTCTCAAAGGACAACAGAGACCCGGGTTTCCTGTGCTCCTTTAAGAAAGGACTAATATACAGACTTGGGGGGGGGGTGTTCCAAACCTCACATGTTTACAAGTCTAAGAATAATATAAAGTAGAGGATCTTCAAGAATGTCCGTGGCACTAGGTCTGTAGGAAATAGACAGGGGCTACAAACTTGAAGAGGGGCTTGAATGAGTGAGTGGGTTTATCTTGTGAAGCTAAGCGACGTTTCCTATTTCAAGATTTCTCAGCTGCTCATGAGGGTTTAAACAAAATCTTAAACTGTTTTTCAAAATTAAAAATTAAAAACAAGTCCTTGTATCTTAGGCATTTTCTCTTGAGCAGCCACTACTGCTCCTAAGTCAAGGCTCTGATACAGGCACCCACCCTGGCTTGGGCTTAGAACGTATAGCCGGGCATCTTTCTGGCTCCGCTTCTTATCCACTTGAAGTGACCTGGGCAGGTTTGTAACACTTCTCTATGCTTGACTCCCCTCTTCTCTGAAGGAGGAGTGACAGGGATTGCCCAGGACATGTAAAATGCCTAAGTGCAAAGTGAATGAGGTGTGTGTCAGAGGTATTGACATCACCTTCATTTCATGAAGGGGTGGATACATTTTAGACAGATTTCTTTAGTAATGTTTTTGGGAAGGGTTTGTTATTATTGACACATCTGCAGAATCAGCCTGAAGAGCCTCCTCTTTATTTGGTCCCAGTACCTTTTTCCCACCTGAGAATCTTTGCACACCTAGGCTGAAGGTGAACAAATATGGTCTCCCACCAAGAGTCAACACGAATGTATGACCACTCTCTTTACTGTGTACAGCACGACCCCCTTCCCTTGTCCCCACACTCCTGACCACAGATGAAGACAGTTCTGTCAGGACAAAGATGATAACATCCAAGTTCATGGTTATGCAGATGGCTGCTTGCTGACAGCTTTTGGAATGACCATGTTTTAAAAGTAAATTTCAAGTGAAGGTATGATCCGTGTAAATCTGACCCCTTCCGGTGAAATGTGCATTTACATATATTTGGAATTTATAAATCCTGACAGATTCCACAATATTTATAGCCCTCCATAAAAAGCCTTTGCCAGTTTGCAGAGCTTTGCATTTGGCGCTCTGGTGTGCTTAAGGGAGTTTAAATAATAATAAATTTGGTGATTTATTCCACCTGGAACAGAAAGTGATCCGCCCCCCCGCCCCCACCCCCGCCCCAGCTCATTTGGAAGGGGATGCCTATAAATAGTGCTGCAGACGCTGGGATCAGGAATAGGGAATTGAAATTTGAGAGAGAAGTACAGCAACATTTCCATTATAACTGATTTCTTGAGTATATTTTTAAAACATTTCTGTTCCTCCCATAATATCCCTTCTCTCCTTTCTCCTGCCTCATCTCAATTATACCTGACTCTTTCAAGCCTGTTGCCAATGTTCGGATTCAATTGCTCTAATGGGAAAGGGAGAAAGAGTATTAGCTGACTAGGTAGGAGCAAGCTTCCTCTAGGGAGGACAGGGCAGTTCTTCAGTGCCCATCTTGTATTGCATGGGAGTCAGCAGGTAACTGAGTGTCTACATCTACAGTGTAAATTAATTACCAGAGCTCCATCTCACACACCCAACAGATGATATGATCAAAAGCTCACACTTCATGAAAAGAATAAGAGAGGAATTCTAAGTCTAATTCCAAGAGAAAGCCTGAGGACAGTATGAGAAGGTAGAGTCTTCCAACCAGTCATGTTCACAAACACCCAGAACAGGGTGAGAGAATGTAGCAATCCCTCTTGTTCATAGTTTCATTGTGCATGGTGCCGGCTATGGGTGGTCAACCAGGCTCCAAAGTATTAGGTGGGGAAACCTAGAAATAAACAGTTTGTTTACGTTTTACACTGTGCACTGTTGTAAGCAATGTGGTAAGATCTCTTATGCCTTGACTCCATCCCACCATTTGGGAGTATTAATCGTCCCTTAGCTTTGTATTCACACTGTAGATACTTCCCACCCATTGGTCATGGATAGCATCTCAGCTCTCAGAGCAGCAATCCCCAGAGTCACAGTATTCATCTGTTAGCACTATGTCAAGAGCATTGATCCGTATCACCCATTTCCATCTCCTCACATAGACTATACAGTCAATAGTCATCGCAGAAGGAGGAGCATACAAAGATATTATGTGAGTGACCTCATTCACATAGTTTTTACTATAAGACATTATTCTATGAGGAGTCATTGTTAAGTCCTTATTGTGAAAAATTATAAATACTATTTCTATAGGTTAAGTAGGTTAAGTAGGTATAGAAAAAAATATATATATGTATATATATATATATATATATATATATATATATATATACTGAGCTTAGTGTGACCTGAGACTTTAAGTATTCCGTGAGGGTCTTAGGAGATATCCCCTGAAAATACGGAGAAACTATAATGATTCACTCTACCTGAGTAGTGACTTTGGATGTTGCTATCTGCTTTTCTCTTTCTTTTCTTTTTTTTTTTTTTTTATTTTTCGAGACAGGGTTTCTCCATAGCTTTTGGTTCCTGTCCTGGAACTAGCTCTTGTAGACCAGGCTGGCCTCGAACTCACAGAGACCCGCCTGCCTCTGCCTCCCAAGTGCTGGGATTAAAGGTGTGAGGTGGGCGGTCCTTGGGCTTCCCACAGGTCAGGGAACCCTGATTGCTCTTCAAGCAGATGAGGGAGGGGGACTTGATGGGGGGAGGGGGAGGGAAATGGGAAGCAGTTGCGGGGAGGAGGCAGAAATCCTAAATAAATAAATAAATAAATAAATAAATAAAGGCGTGCGCCACCACCGCCCAGCTCTGCTATTCTTTTGAAAGAAAAAATTTAAGCCATATCAAGTCATTCTCTCCAGATTCTACCAGGGAAAGCCGAGAAGAGGCATTTAGTGCCGCAAAAGCAGCATTACAACTTGTGACATCACGGGCGGTTTATTTCCAGCTTCTAGTTTGAGTGGGTTGTAAAGGAAGTAGCATTTGTAAGGAGAAGAATAATTAACATCCACTGAGAGCTGCCTATGGGCAGCTGTAAAGTCACAAATACACAAGTGTCTGGTTGGGTGAATAGCGCCTTCTTCGTTGCCCGGAGCTGGTCCTCCTCGATCAGAAGACTCCATGTCTGCAGTCAACTCACCATGGGGTGAGGATACTGGGGAGGGAGTGCAGAAAGCTGCCTGTGGCAAAATGCTACTCTGCTCCACGCAGGGCACTGTGTTCAATTCATTAGAATACGTGACATTCAGGCACACTGTTGCAGCCTCCCACATCCCACAGGTTCTCATGCTGCTTTCAGTGCTCCTTGTTTGGTGGCATTCAAGTGCTGTGCTTCCAAGCCCAGGATGGTTGCCTATGCACTGCAAATATATAGATTATTTCTTGTCAATGTTCCCAAAAGGATGCGGTGTAGTAAGTATTTACATACCATTTACATTTAAATCATCTGCAGCTGATTTGAAGTGTATGCAAATAGTATGCCATTTAAAATTAGGCAGATTTGGGTATCCGTGGGGGACCTAGAAGCAATACCTCAAGGATACCGAGGTATAACTATAGTGGACTCTTCTGTGTTCCGTTCCTTGGAACACATCCTCAGCCCCAGACATTCCTGAGCACTCGGCTCATATCTACCTATTAGGATGCCAGATGTTTGGATCCAACCCCAGAGTTTGCCTTGGACCGCATTTTAATGATTTGTGGTGAATAAAGTAAACGTTTTAAAACCAGGTTTTATGAAGCAGGGACCCAGTTAAGTATGATGGATTCAGGGCAAAGCCAAGAGAGAGCTGAATGTTAATGAGGGTACCCTTGGCTATATAGGACAAGGGTCAGCATCTATCATTCATGGTTAAATCCAAAGGCCTGCTTTAGAAGTGAACTGTTGAAGAACCATCCTTAACTAAGACCTGAATAAGGATGGCATCAGTAGACAAGGGAAGTGGAAGGGGAAATCTCAGGAAGCCTCAACCTAGACAAAGAGCTACAGGCAACTAAGGAATTCTGAGAATGGGCAATAGAGTCTTTCCAGGGAAGAGCAAACCAACTGATTATCCATAACCAAATGGTCAGCCCTGAAAACATGCATATAAGTAACATGATAGGTACTGAGCACATTGCATTCATAGATTTAGGAACAAACACACACACACATGCACACATAGTTGACTTTTTAAGCTAGACATTTGGAAGAGCAAGGGAGGATACATAAGAGGAATTGGAGGAAGCAAAGGGAAAGAGAGAAATGATGTAATCATATTTTAATTTTAAAAAATAATCAAGTTCTAAGGAATATCAAGTCTCCCTGCCTTCCTTGCAGGACCTTTCTAGGCGGAAGTAGAATGATTGAGCTATTAGGTAGTTCTGTATCTTTGTGCCTCTGTGATCATATTATGGGTCTAAGACACAGGAGTAAATGAACTTTTCTTATCCTTGAAGCCCATAGAAAGACAAGAAAATTACCATCTTAATTTTACATGGTTTATTTTTTTATACATTATGTGTATAAGTGTTTTGTATCTCTGTGTACCATTTACATGCCTGGTGCTTGTGGAGGTCAGAAGAGGGAACCTAATGTCCTAGAACTAGAGTTCCAAGGAGTTGTGAGCTGCCATGTAGGTGGTACAAGGAACTGAGCCGAGGACTTCTGAAAAAGCATCCCATGTTCATAATTGTTGAGCCCTCTTTCCTGCTCTATAATAAAAAGGCTAGTATAGAGGAGAATCCAGTTGGGGAAAGAAAACTTTAGTGATTTTGTTATTGTTTTCTGTCTTAGCTTGTTAGCAATCAGCAATAAGGTAAGACGGTGTTGAGGCAATATTTTAATGACCCCTCCTTTATTCTTCTTCCGTAGGGCAACCCTTACATGTGCAATAACGAGTGTGACGCAAGTACCCCTGAACTGGCGCACCCTCCTGAGCTCATGTTTGATTTTGAAGGACGACATCCCTCTACATTTTGGCAGTCTGCTACTTGGAAGGAGTACCCCAAACCTCTCCAGGTTAACATCACTTTGTCTTGGAGCAAAACCATTGAGCTCACAGACAATATAGTTATTACCTTCGAATCGGGGCGTCCAGACCAAATGATCCTGGAGAAATCTCTCGATTATGGACGAACATGGCAGCCCTATCAGTATTACGCCACAGACTGCCTCGATGCTTTTCACATGGACCCGAAGTCCGTGAAGGATTTGTCCCAGCAGTCCGTCTTAGAGATTATTTGCACAGAGGAGTACTCCACCGGGTACTCCACAAACAGCAAAATTATTCACTTTGAGATCAAAGACAGGTTTGCGTTTTTCGCTGGACCTCGGCTGCGAAATATGGCCTCCCTCTATGGACAGCTGGATACAACCAAGAAGCTCAGAGATTTCTTCACAGTCACGGACCTGAGGATCAGGCTCTTGAGACCCGCCGTAGGGGAAATATTTGTAGATGAGCTGCATTTGGCACGTTACTTTTATGCGATCTCAGACATAAAGGTGCGAGGAAGGTAAGAGAACCCCTGCCCATCTTGAATGGAAATAACTGTGTGTACAAAAAAAAAATATGCCCAGGGTTGGTGACATTAGTCAATTTTTATTTATTTTCTGAGGGCCACCAATACGCGAGGAGGTTCTAAAGCCGTCTGAGACCTTTTGGCTCAGCAATGATTTACAAACCCACACTGGTTATCAGTCTTCAGGAGTCTTTAGAATTCAAACAAAAGAAAACATAGTCATCTTACCTGAAGCTTAATATTCCCTGGTAAGGTGAGGCTTAAGCCAACATAGTGAGGCTGCTTGCTCTGTTAGAGGGGAAGAGAGAAATAAGGTTCTGTCTTGCATTTACCAATGCAAGCAAGAATCACCCTGCAATGATCCCTTACACCGTCAGAACAAAAAGCACCTGAGACGTAAAATGCATTTCTTCAAGAGTGGTAAGCTTCCTCTTTTAGAGGTCTTGAACACTTTGTATTAAAAAATATTCCACATGTAAAATATGGGTTGGGGACTCTTCACTTGGTAGGCCAAGGGCAGATGGACAAGAGTTGTAACATCAGTAGTTATGATCATGGATACCTTGTTTTAATAGTATACCAAACTACAATTGATTATAAAGAATTTTGAAGATGTATGAGTGAAAACTCCGATAATGAGAACAAAAACTACCAACATGAGAGACTTTTATTCATCAAGGCATGGTGAGAGTAGACACATAAGATAGTGGGCAGGAAAAAAAAGAAAATATAAAGAAAGAGATAAACATTTTTAAATCTGAGAATATATGAGGATAAGTATATAAAGTGTATAATGGTAAATTTGGCATATTGATCTTGATAAGCATAAATTTAGACAGATAAATCAGGATTCATTCAATAGGCTGGCTTTCAGATTCCTTTGGGTCTGCCCAGGCCTCAGAAATTGGAGGTGCTGGAAATCTGGCCCTTCAGAGAGTTGTCTGTCACATATGAGTAAAAAGGTGTTTGCAGCTATGAAGATGGGGTCCTAGTGAGAGTAAGAAAGGCAGTAAAGCTTTTCAGCTTACGGTGGCATCTAAGGTTTCAGGATGTTCACAATGGAAAGACAGCATGAACTTGCAGCTATATCCTCTGCTTCCTCTTGTGTTCCTCATGATCAGTAAAGAATCTTTAGCTACAGACCTTATTGTCAACCTCTAACCAAGGCCTTAGTGACAGATGCTGACAACATCTTGACAGCAAATTAGTATTTTTTTGAGGGATTTGTGCCCTAGTATATGGATAGCCACATTGATCTTGGGAGCCCTAGTGTTTTAAGAAGTGTTTACAGATTAGCAGGAGTCTATGAATGGGCAGTAGGAAGTTGTCTTAGCAGACTTGAGCATGTGTTGTACCAAAATGCCCCATTATGTTAAGGAACATCTTAGTAAAAGACTTTACGTTTAAAATGTCATCTTATCCAATCTCAAGTGCATGTACTATATGAAAAATATTTGATATTTTTAACAACAGCATGCCAACATCAAATGACAAATATTCAATATGGCTGAAAGAATAAAACTCTAAATGAATAGCCCGAGATTTGTGTGGTTTGGTAACATTGAATTCAGGCAGGTCAGTTTCTGGCAGTTTCAGTACTTCTTAACCTGAACTTGAGTTTCTGTAGACCACTGCACCCAAACACTGTGATTTGGCTCTGTCAGAAAGACAACATTTTGGGGGGTTTCAGTTATGAAATATCTGCTGCTGGAGATTATTTTTGCTATGGGAAATTCATTTCTCTCCTCTCTGATTCTTTGAAAGAAAGTATAAACTGCATTTTCGAGCTAAGGAGAGCTTTATGCATGCTCCATTGGAGTTAGACAGGTCCTCTCCTAAAGATGGCCTGCCAAGAACATCTAATCCCTCTGGACCTCTCACCTTACTGCTAAGCCTCACCTTGGCAATGACCTCCGGCTGCTTGTCACTGGCTCTGAGGAGTTAGCAGTACCCAGATTCCATCAAACCTCTTGAGTCTCACCTCCCCTGTCATTCCTGTTCACCAGTCAGCTGCAAGCTAGCGAGAAGCAGCTGAACAAAAGCAAAAGGGCCAGTGGAGGTGAGGTAAGCCCATACGGTGCTGCTCCGTCACCTGCTGCTCTGTCCAAATTTTTCGGGGCAAACCGATGCTAGCATGTACTGCACTAGGCACCAGATGGCTGGAGTATTTTTAGTCCTGGGGGAGGGACTAAAGAAGCCGGGCCTGATGGCTCCGGTGTGTCTCTGGCTTTCAAGTTATGTAAGGAGTATTTGTTCATGATGGAGCCACTAAACGGAAAGCTGAGCAACTGTGGAGCATTAGGCCTTTCAGCCTAGACACTGATGATTTTACCGTTGAAGATTTCAGGATTCATGTTTTTGGTTGTCTTTCCTTTAAACAACAGGTCATCTATAGAAAGATTACCTATTAGTTGATGATTTTTTTTTTATTGGGAAGTTCTAAATTTTCCAAAACGTAAGAAAGGGCATAGTTTCTTGTAGCTTGTCTTTCCATCCCCTGGTCACACAAACCTAGAATCTTATATACGTGTCTTTTTCCAGAAATAATAATGCCATTTTTCTGTTGTCACTTCCAATACCATCCAAGCAAAATGTGGGAATTTATATAAGTCATTATATAAATTTTGTATGAAGACCAGCTATAAATATTTGCAATACCGTCAACAGAAAATATATGTTTCTATCTTGAACTATTAAACTATGAAATGGAAATAGTTGAAGATATAGTGTAAATATGCATATGTAGATTTTATAATGACTATTTTATTTAACATAAAAGCAATGTTTTGACTGTCATCAGATTAATGAATCATTTGGGCTATTGGTTCTCAATCTGTGGGTTGCAATCCCCACAAGGTTTCAAGTATCAGATATCCTGGATACTAGATATCTACATTATGATTCATAACAGCAGCAAAATTACAGCTATGAAGTAGCAGCGAAAAAATTTTATGGCTGGGGGTCTCCACATCATGAGGAACTATAGTAAAGGATCGCAGCGTTAAGAAGGTTGAGAACCACTAGCTTAGGCTTTTTTAACATGGGATACATCCAGTATCTATTGAACTGATAGAAAAACTTATAATATTATCATAAAATGCATTTCTCCTTTGCTACGTGTTTATTTTGCTTTCATTTACCGCATGAGTATTTATCAAGATAATGAAGGAAAAAGAGGAAGCAATGCGCTTGGCCATCTTAGTAACTCCATGGCACTTACATTGTTCAATAAACCTAATAATCTTCCTGGGCTAATTCTGACTTATGGCTGTCCTGCTTCAGTAAATCAGGGTGATTTTCTCCAGTGAATAATAGAGAAGTGCAGTGTGCCAGTACGTTAATTAAAGAGCCACTCTCTTAGTCTTGATCTCATTTTAATTTACAGGGTAATACTACAATAATATCACTAATGGAAGGTACATTAAAGGGCATCAAGTAGCATTAACTGTATTAAATTATGGTACTTGTGTTAATTAACTGCCGAAGCAAGATGGTTCTAATGGCCACAAGTTCGTCTAGTGCATAAATAAAACGTACCCAGATGAAAGGTGAGAGGAGAAATGAAGAGTACATGTTTGTTCTCAACATTTTTTTTTCATACAGACAGGGGGTTAAGTCCAGAAGTCATTAAATATATAATGTCCAAAAGGTTTCTTAGTTACACTGTGGGAGGTTTAGATTTTCAAGTACCATGTTTCCTTTTGAGCTTTCTTTCCACAATTAAATTAATTAAAACCTAGATACTTGTCAGATGCAGCGCTTTTATCAGAATATAAGCTAAACATTCCTTTTTGTGTCTTTGAGGTAACACTGAGGAAGTAGTGTGATTTATTATAATAGGTTTTTAAGTCTGAAAGATAAATGAGCATTTGGTAATAAGCCCATTTGTTTCCAAGATGTATTATCAGCAATGTATCAAACTATGGCTTTAGACATTGGATAATAGAATTTCTCCTCTAACAACATAAGCACGAAGGTAGAATTGAAAGAAATATTCAGATCTGATCAACATCTCAATTGCTTGTCTTTTACAATACATTCTTAAAGGTAATTCATACCTTTTCAATGGTGTTTATTCATTTCTTATCCCATGCAGTGCCTACTCGGCTTCCTTTATAGGTTGGCTGTCAAAATAACAAATAGCCTATGGTTTAGCTTATCCATAGCTTAGCTTTCCAAAATTTTCACTGAGGCAAGTGCAAAGACGTTAGATAAAAAATTCCAGAAATAACTAATTAATAAGTTTTAAGTGGATTTTGTTACAGAACATGGTTATAATTATATTTACTATGGGTTATAATTGTTAGATGCTTGCTGTGACATATTTTTAATTTAAATTTTATAGTTATGTAAACATAAGATACAAACATAGTATGTATGAGACTCGGTGCTCTCTTCCTTTTTAGACACCCTTTGGGAGTTTTGAACTATAACCATGCCCCAATTACAGAAATCAACCGAAATTTATTTATTTGTTTATTTACTTATTTTTCTTTCCTCATTCCGTTGCTTTCCCCTAAGAAAAGAGTCTGAGGACACTAGCACAGAAGCTGTATTTCAGCATCCTTTCTTGAGCATTCTTAACTGTCCAATCCAGTCTCCTTTTACAGAACTCAAGGCTAAACAGGCCAGTGACAAAGCTACTTCCCCAGGGTGTTATAGAGAGAAAGGCTCCCTACATTCTCTCTCTTAGGAGTAAACTTTACATCCATATAACCTGACTGCTTGAATGTCATCACCTTGGGTTTCGTTTTTTGTAACTGGGACAAGGTCAAGAAGTTGGTACCCAAGTAAGTAATCTTGAGTAAGCAAGAACATTTGTGTGTGGAGTGCAGCAGTTAAGAGCACTGGTTGCTTCTCCTGAGAACCTGGGGTTTGATTCCAAGCACCTACAAGACAGCTCACAACCATCTACAATTCTACTTCCAGGAGATCCCCATCCTCTCTTCGACCACTATGGGCACCAGGCACACATATGGTGCACAGACATCCAT